TTTCTACCAAAATAAATGCCATTAGCTGCTCCAACCAAAGAAAATATTCGTTTTTGCCCACTTATTTCTCTTTGGATGGGTAACGAATAAATACTTTAAGAATGTGGATAATTTATTATACATTATTTATAAATAATGGGAGGAAATAATTCATTAGATAAAAGAAATGGTACATTCTTAATGATTAAATTAATCAATCACTTTTTTTAAGTTCCTATGAAACCTATGTAAATATCTGAGTTAATATTAAATGATACTAAATTAAAGACTGAAATAGCAGATTTAGAAATATATGATATACATTATAATCCAGAAGAAACTACATTTTCAATTCCAGAAATAGAAAATGAACCTCCTGGACATTTTTTAAATTTATAACCAAGAGTGAAATCAACTACATATGTTACTCAAAATTTGTACATTTTATTGAGATTTTTACACACTATATATTAAAGATTAGAGATGGCATATATAATTAGTAAGTAAAATAATTTAGGAAAGGATAAAAGATATAATTTATTTAAATCTGCTTTATTCCTTTCTTTAAAAGCTAAAGATTTTAAATACGAAGATCATTTAAGAAGTTTATTTGGAAAACATGTAAATAATATTAATAATAATATAAATTAGGGTTTTATATTTTCAACATTAGAAAAAGTACTTCATGATGCAGCTAAATAATTAGCAATTTGTGCTTCAGATCCAGTGACAACTAGTTATTTTGATAAACCTGTTTAATTTAATGGAGATATTGATAAATATTTTTAGGTGGTTTCAGGAATAGTTAATGGAGAAGGGATAAAAGTATCTGATTTAGAAGCAGAAGTATATTACTAATTCTAGATACTTAAAGAAGAAGAGATGTTATTAAGATTGCATGAGACACTACAAAATTGTAAACCAGAAAAGAAACCTATATATAGAGTAAGATTTATTAAATATTAATTTTTATAGATTGCATGTTGGCATAAAGCTTGTTTTATATCAATTTTACCAGGTTATGGAGGTCATATGTAAGAGAAATGTACTTCTTGGAAACAACCATTTTTAATGAGAAATATGATGAGAGGATAGAGAAGAATGATGATTAGAAATAGTATTGAATGGATGGTAGATGAATTATGTCATTTTAAACCTATCATCAATAATGGAGAAGATTATTTAAAGTGTGTATGATTTCATAGAAACAAATTTATTAATATATCTATTAAATTACAAAACTATAATTAATATTATAATTATCAAGCATCTACCCATAACATCTCTCCTATTTTACCTATTATAGCTGGTAATGATTGGATTCTCCATTATTTTTATACACTCAATTCTTCCATTATTATATATAAATTTTGAATCAACAATCCATAACTTTATTTCAATATTTTCATATTTGATGGTTTTTAACTAAATAAATACAAAGTACTAAAATATTCAAATATAATTATATTTACTCATTTTATTATTGAATATAACTCTTGCTTCCCTTAAATTTAAATTCATATTTCAATGTTACACCCTTTATCTTTGCTATTTATTATAATAATAATCCCAAATAACCCAAAGAAGTAGCTAATTAATCCTCTTCTTAATTTGACATATTTGATTAAACATCATTTAGATATTTGATCTTATGCAATCCCCACAAAAGTCTTTAATTTTCCTTGTCAAAGAAAATCGTACATAACTACAATAGAAACAATCGTTTTATTCCTTTTGCTACTGTACTTCTAATCTAAATTGTTTCCCTTATGAAATATAAGCATAACTCACTCTTTTTTTTAACATGATTTAAAGTCTTCCTTTAATTTATCATTAAATTTATCAATCCAATCAGCTCTCTCTTTATAAACTCTTTATTAATCAGTACAATATTGCTAATTCTTTACTATTTCTTAACTCTCTTTTTCCATCTATTTCTATATTTCTTTCTTTTTGATCTCAAATTCTGTACTCTAACATTTAACATTATAAGCATCACTAAGTTTCTTTGAACCTTATTCTAAATAGCTTAATAATTAATTCAATTCTTCCTCTAAAGCAATTCTCTATTTCTATAAACTCTCTTTCCTCTCTTTTAATGATTATAATTCTTATAACATAAATAATTATAATCTCTAATATAGATTAATCAATTGTCTAATAATGAATTATTCAAATTTAAATTAAAATAATTACAAAATACATCAAACAAGATTATATTTTAAGAAATCATAAAAGATTGTATCTAAAAATAAAATAGAGTCGTATAATTAGAATTTTGATACTTTTTAAATAATTTATATAATTTTAGATTACCATAATCAATAAAAAATTAAAACTAAAAAAAGATGCTTGATTATATCAAAGAAAAGAATAATATCATCATTACAAAATAAAAATCAATGAATTCACTTTAATAAAGTAGTGAATCTAGTCCAATAAATCTCTTAGATAACTATAATAAATAAAGATTTCCAACCATCTCGAATGCATAATTAAAATATGCCATTGAGTCTAATTATTTAGAACCTAATCAAAAACATACTATCATTAGAAATCCTAATTAATTAACAGTATTTCAAATCCAATTTGATACAAATTCTCCCAGAACTCAAGCAGCTATGGAAATGCTTAAATTAGAAGTGGATGATCTTAATGTATTATAGTATACAGAATTTTATTAAAAGAAATAGAATGATCTTTAAAACCTCATTTAATATTTACAATATGTGTCTAAAAAATATCAAATATTGAATGATCTTTTAAAACGAAGAAATCAAATCAAACATATTCAATCTTAAGTTACAAAACATTTAAATTCTAAAGATATAAAGATTAAAGATTAATCTTTAATTGTTGAATAATCTGAATCTAAGAAAACTCAAATAGAAGATCCATAAATATCTGTTATTTTGAATGCAGAACAAAAGAAAGAATTATTTGATAAAAAGGTAAATAAAGAATCTGATAATTATAACAAGTAAATTATTATCAATATAAATAGATTTCTTATTATTGTATAGGATTAGATTAATAAATAAGAAGAATATTATAGTAAAACAGCCCCAGAAATTTACTAAAAAGCTGAATAACTTAAATAAAAATAATTGGATTAAATTAGAAAGAAATTAAAAAGAAAGAATTTAAAAGTAAATGAGATATGTCAAAAAAATAAAAATGAAGAATAATTATAATATAAATAACATAAAAAAATTGTTAAGAAATTAGAAAAAAATCTTGATTAACATTTTGAGAGAAAATAAAAATAACTTTTATAATCTTAAGAGGAATTAATTGAATAATTAAAAAAGAGAGAAGAAAAAGAAAAAGAAAGATAATTAAAAAGATAAATGTAAATAAGTTTAGAATAAAGTATGATTGATTAAGTTATGGATTCAATGAAAAAGAAATCTGATTATTTGAATGATTACTTAAATAAAAAATAATTAGATGATCGAAGAAAATAAAATTAAAGTTTAAAGATTTTTGAAGAAAAATAAAAAAAATTATAAGAATCTTCTATTTAAAAAGAAAATGAATATGTTCAAATGTATTTTAGTAAATCAACATAACGATAAGTAATTTTATAATGAATTTTAATTAGATATAAATTAATAAACATGAAATTTCATAAATCAAATAATAAAAAAGTTTATCTATGAAAAATAGTAGGATTATGAAAAAATATGAATAATATTAAGAATCCCTAGATTAACAAAGATCTGATTCTCTTATTTCAAAACTTAAAGAAGCTGATAATAAACTTGAAAATGGTTTAAAAAGGTATTTTTAATTATATTATAATTAGACATTAATCGTTGATAGATTTAAGAAAATAAAATATATAAGAAAAAAATGAATATCGTTTTAAATTAGCTAAAGAAAAATAAATGGAAAATATGTTGGAAAAAATACATAAATAAAATAAAATATTAGAAAAAAATCTAGAGATATCACAAAAAAATGATAAAAATAAATAAGAATTAGAATTTTTAGAGAAATATAAAAAAGAAATAATGTAAGATAAAGTGATATAAAGAAACTAAATGATAATGAAATTATAATCTTGAATTATTTATTCTTTTATGGTTGATTTATAATAGTATGATATATTATTTTTTTAGTTTAATTAGCAATTTTGAATTACTAATTATAGTTATCATTTAGTTTAATGAGTTAATCTATTACTATTACATTATACAAAAGATATTAGAAATGTAACTTGATTTCGATTAAATACTTATTTAATATTCTATTTAAATAATAAAGATATTTATCAAGACTTATACATATATGCAACCTTATTAAGTCTGGAAGAATTGAAGAATTAGATTGTATAAATTGACAAATAAGACAAACATAAACATCTTAATAATGGAAAAATCTGTAGAAATGACCAAACAAATAAATTCAAATCAATAATTAATTTAAAATAATATTACTCATATAAAATTGTCTCTTAAAGAATGTTAAGTTAAATTGTATAATATTATATCAGAATTTAGATAGAAGAATCAATTATGCAACCAAACCTTAAAATTTTAATTTCGAGTACCTCTTTGACTATCATAAAAAATTAGTTAAAGGTGATTAGACTTAAAGTTAAGCCCATATTATAAATTTTATCATAAATGTGAATGGCAAAAGGCTATATTAATGTTCTTCATGCTATTTTTAAGTGTATTTAGTATAAGTTATAATAGTATCTTGAGAAAGCATTGTTAAGTTATTATATTTTCTTTTTTTTTTATATTCCCAAAATTTTAATCATTTAGCACATTAAAAATTAACATCAATAACTATTAAACACTAGTTCAGATGTAGAAATACTAAATATATAGGATAATAATGAGAATGATTTAAGTATTAGTATTAGTTATTTGAATTTTTGATTTTTAAATTAAAAATCTAGGGTACCTTTTAAAATTCTATGAACACATATAATCTATATATTATAATTTTATTAAAAGTTAATTATTATGTCTGAATACTTTAGAAAGTATATCAAGAAAGAGAATTATCCAAATCATTTGTAATTATATACTTATCTAATCTATGTTTAGTTCAAATATAAAATATAAGACTTCTTTTAGAAATTGTATTTTAGAAGTATTTATATTTATGAATGTTTACAATAGGCATTTAAACGAAGAAATTGGAAGGAGGTAGATGGTGATGATTGGGATATCATGTGGGCAGAGAAAGAATGGATACATGAAGTTATGGATCATATTCATTTATAACCTCACTAAAAAATCAATCATTTTCGCAATCATTATGAAGTATTATAATATTAAGAAATAAGCTAACTAGAAAAGATTTGATGATTAAAAATTTAAAAAAATAAAGAAGAATGTTAGAAAAGGAAGGAAAAACAGATGAAGCTAATTCGTATAATATTCATTTTAACGACTTAGTTATAATTTTTTCCCACTTACATTTCATTTACCTAGTGAATATCCAATTTTTAATGAAGAATTCAAAAAGTAAGGAGATAACAAAACAGCTTGGATTATGAAACCAGTATATTTAATATCATATAATATAAGATTGGAAAATCATAAGGAAGAGGTATATTTTTGTTTAATAAAATACAACAAATTTCTTAATGGAAAAATCAAGTTAAATTTAATCCAGAAAATCCATCTGCTGAATCTTATATTGTTTAAAGATATATAGCAGATCCTCTCTTAATTGGAGGTAAAAAGTTTGATGCTAGAATATATTTATTATGTACTTCCTATTCTCCTTTAACTTTATATTTATATCGTACAGGTTTTGCTAGATTCACTCATCATAGATATGATAATGAAGATATTACTAATACATGTATATATATATTAATAAATTATGATAAGATGTACATTTAACAAATGTAGCAATATAAAAGACATCAGATAATTATGATGAAAAATTAGGTGGTAAATGGGATTTATAAAAATTAAAGTTATTTTTAATGACTAAGTATGGATAAGATAAAGTTTAAGAATGTTTCTATAATATCTAATAATTAATGATCAAATCATTGTTGGCAGTATAAAAAATTATTATTAATGATAAACATTGTTTTGAATTATATGGATTTGATATCTTATTTGATTCTTCATTAAAGCCATGGCTATTAGAAGTAAATGCAAGGTTAATGTTATTTAATTTAATAAAGTCCTTCTATGACTTCTAATACACCTATTGATTTTGAATTAAAATGTGGATTACTTGATGATGTTTTTACAATTATAGATCTCGAAAAAATATTAACTGGTAATGAAGAATAAATAGGTGGTTTTGATTTAATTTACAAGGGTGGTCCAATAAAATCATAATATTATTCTTCATCAATCTCTTTCTTAGGTACATTTAATAATAGAAAAATACAATTAAAAAAATTAGCCAAAACTTGTGGTAATTTATATTATTTTAACATTAGCTTTAAGATTAAATTAAACAACTACATAATTAAAGAGTTCAGAAGGTACAAAAAAAGATAAAGATAAAGATGATAAATAAATGAGAAGTGCTTCAAAGAGTTCTTAAATTAATTAAGTAATATTAACATCTTTATTTTAGAATTCAAATATATCTAATAAAATAACAGTTTAACCAAAAAGTAATACAAATATAAAACGAACTTCAACTGATTTACCAATATTAATGAATAAATAGAATACTATACGGAAAGAGGCACATCTAAATAGTTAATAAAAATAAACTATGTCAATTTAATAAAAGACAGAATTAGAATTAAATTAAAATAAAGTGTATCTATTTATTATATAACAAATTTAGATTATCTTAATTAAATAATACTACTTTCAGTCCTTATTAATAAGATGATAGTATTACAAACAATAATCGAGTTATAAAGAATAGTTTTTAAACTTTACCAAAGATTGTTAAACCAGAATCCTTTATATCAGATACATGAATTGGATAACATAGAATAATTATTTAAAATTTGTAATTTATAAGATTATATTGTTAACTACTACTTTTTCATATAATTTTATCAAACTCATGAACATATCTTAAGGAATTTTAAATCAAAAATTCTGAATTCAAAGGATTCTCTACTTTTTAAACCTATATATTAATAAATATATTAATTTTTTTACATTATCAAAATAAACATGATGATTATCAAATTTCCATTTGAAATGTTATTTCTAAGCAAATTATTATAATTCTTAAACACTTTTAACATTGAATAATTTGATAGCATTTTCTAATGTTAAACTTTTATATGATGCATTAGCACTTAAAGCAGTTTGTAATCTAAATTAAAAAATTTAAATTACCTAATAGTGTCCATAATTCTTTCTAAGAATACATTTTCAATACCTGTTGGATGATAATCACCTAAAAGATCAGAATAACTTCCAATGCTCAATTTGTATTCCAATTAAAGTACAAAATGAACAAATGGATTTGAAAATGTTTCTTTTGGTAATAATTCAATTTGGGAATAATATTAGGCAAATCTATTAATTCTTTTAATAAATATTATTACTTATTAAAGGATAGTAAATATATTAAGTAAATACCAGTATAATGAGCTTTTTCTTTGCTTTCTAGACCTTAATTATAAAATTTCATTAATCTTTCTATTGCTAATTCAAAATTTTCAATTTGTCTTGAAATCAATAAATATGTGACTTCTAATTCACAGAAATGTACTAATGATATTAACATATAATATACAAGCTAATTATTCTGTAGCCAATCTATTTACAGCTAATTCATTAAATATTTCAAGCTAAACATAAAAAAATATTTGAATACTTTCAAATGTTTTAAATTTTAAGGAATCTAAGGATTACTTGGGTCAACTTGAATGCTGGAAGATAATAATTGTAATTTTTGCTCCATATTTTGAAAAAATAATTTATTAATATAATACTGGTGTTACATATAATTAAAATAGATGTATAAATAAAAGAAATGAAGTAAGTGAATCAAAAATAATTAATATGAATATTCATTTAAAAAATGTATAGAACAAATTATAAATATCTTATTTCATTATTAATATCAAATTCTTAAATCTTATCAATATTTTGGTACTTTTATTAATAGATCTTGACTGAATTTTTAGAAATTTTACAATATCTTGTACAAGTTTATTATTATGACTTTGAATGTGTAAACACTTATTATTTTCTATTGTTTATTACATATTTTATATGATTAGATTCTTTTCTTTAGTTATCAATTATGATATTTGTAATAATTGATAATAAATTTCTTTAGATATCTATATTTATTATATTATTGATATTTATATATTTAGAATTCTCTATGTTCTATTTAAAGTATTAATCTTAATAACAATTTAAAAACAATAAAAATAAAATATTTTTAATGCAAATATTACCACCTGCAAAAAGAGTTCTACATTTTTGTGAAAGCAAGAATTGGTTTAATTCAAGACATGCTAACAAAACAAAAGAGAAATATCTGAAGACAGAGAAAGAATTGCTTGATGATATTATTGTAACAGAAACTTTTCATTTGATTGACAGAGATCATTCAAGTAAATGATGAATCTTAATATAAATATAGATTCAATAGAATTGGATGAATTATATTCTATGTTAAAGAAAAATAATTATCCTGTAAATATGGGTCTACTTAAAGCATTTTTTGAAAAAACAGATAGAGATGGGAATAGTAAGTTATTGTGTTAAATTCAGAATGCATTGATTTGGATGAGTTTAAATAAGTAATCAAAGATGAATCGATATCTTAAAGTAATGATATCAAATTATATTGAATAGCTTTTAGAATGATGATGAGAAAGATGAGAGAAATAGGGGAAGATAATTATTATTCTACTGATTTTGTAAATCTCTTAAGATATTTATGCTATTGTTCAAATAGGACCGATCTTATTTATCAAATAAAAGTACTTTATTATATATATAAATTCAAATTAAGAATACGCGACTATCATATGAAACTAGATCCAAATTAGTTTCTGACTTATTTAAAGTCAATTAATAATTTACAAAATCATTACACACAACTTAAGAATAATTATTAACACTTAGACCATTTATGAAAAAGAAAAATCAACTTGAATTCAAATATTTGACACCAATCCAAAAAAGACCTAATTAATTTTCAAATCATTCAACTACTATTAGCAATCAGAATTCTATTATTTCATTATAGACAATCAATTATTAATTATAATCACATAGATCTTCTCCAGGAGGATATTTAATTAAGAAAAAATAAGCCAATTTAATCCCTACAACATTATAATCCACAAAATCAACACTCTAATCAACTTAAACAACTCTAAAAAAGAATAATAATAAATTTTGATTATATATTAAGTTTCTTATATTATTTTGATTATATTAAATTGCCCTCATTTATATATGTCGTCTATGTAGTTTAGGATGAAGAACTCCAGACCCATAACCACTAATGGTACAAGAATGTTAGAGAGTAGCGCCAATATGGGAAGCAAATTAATGTATAATTATGACCATCCAATAAGTAAATAACTTACAAGTCCTAAATTGTCATGTGAATATGAAGTTACTTAAGAAGAAATTAGGCAACTTAAATTATAATTAAATGCATCAAAAAAAGAGTCATCCTAAGCTAAATCTCGAATCTTATATTTAGAAGTATTAAAAACATTCATTTTAGAAAGAATTATAAAGATATGAAAATTTAGTTGAAGAACATAGTAAAACTGTCAATAATAATGATACAACCAAACTAGTCATTGAAAAAGCTGCAATTGTACAAAAATTAAGAGCTAAACATAAACAATTAGTCTAAGAATTACTTGAAAAAACTAAAGAAATAGCTTAATTAAAAAAATGTACTAAATACACTACAGTTTAAGAATTAGAAGTATCTTCATATTATACTTTAGATTGAAGTACAAAACTATGGAGAAGAGAATTAAAGATTAAGAGAAAAATTAGAATATTACTAATCTATTGTAGATCTTCGAAGTAGTAAAGAACCTTTAGAAAAGAAAATTATATAATATGAAAAAACTTATAAGATCATTCATAAAGATAATTAAGAATTACTTAATTAAATCAAATTATTAGAAAATTAAAATAAATAATAGAAGGTATTATTATATTCCACTATTTTTTTCAGTAAAAAATAGAACAATTAAATAAAGAGATATAAAATTAATAAATAGAAATATATAAATATCAAGAATCTATTAATGAATTATAATCATATAATGAACGTATTCAAGCTATGTTAGAAGAAGAAAAATAAAATGATTAATAACCAAGTGAAGAATTAAGGTAGGAGTTTGTTTTATAAATTGAAACCTAGAAAAGTAAACATATAGAAGAATTAGAGTAATAATTATATTATAGATTAGTGAAAAAAATAAGGAAATTAGAGATTTAAATGCTGAAATATATAAATAGACATTGCATATCCAAGAACTTGAAAAATTACTAGAATAATATGAAGAATCAATTAAAGAAAAACAATCCTCTAATTAATCCCCTATGCAAATTTAAAAAAGTTTTTGATTAGAAATATTAATCCACTTATTAAATTTATTTATTTATTTTCATAATCATACAAATTATCTAAATTTTTTAATTATATCAAAAATAAAAATATAATAATATTAATAATATCTCTTATATCATTTATTATTTTATTAATATATAATGATTCAGCATTATATAAAATTTAGATTTGAACTTCTCCAAATAATTCCTTATTTATATATAATAATTTTAAAAAATTAATTATAAATTATACAATATTAAATTCTCTAATAAGAATGTAAACATCATTTTATAGTGAAATACGAAAACGTTTGATTGTTTTCTAAGTCCTGAATCTCTTAATCTAATGAATAAATTTTGAGGATTAAAAAAATCATAAGATTATTCATTAAAGAAATCTATTACATCTGAAAATGAAAACAATAAAAATCTTAGAGTATCAAAATAACCTTTAAAATGAATGGGGATATAAGGATAATTTAGTCAATTGTGATTATTTAATTGTTAAAAACAAAATTACATTATTGTATAATAACATTAATAAAGGAAAGAAACCTTCAAATTACATTATTACTAAAAACAATATTTTGATCTTTTTATATTTAGTTATTACATCATTAAATTTTATTAATAATTTGTTAACAATTAGAATGTAAATAAAATGTTCTAAATTCTTAGGCATTAAGAGTATCAGTTAATTTCCACAGTGCAAATATAAGTACAAAGAATTAGAAAAAAATATCCAATCAATATAAATTTAGAATCTTTTATTTAAGAAGTTCAACAAATTTTTTAACTTGAAAATCAAGAAATCATACAAATATAAATGCTTAATCTACTTCATTAAAATAAAATTCTTAGATCCTCTGTTTAAATTAATTAATTTACAATATAAGAAAAATAAATCATTTTAAAAGCTAACAAAATATAAGTGAAAATAAATTAAAATGGTAGATTCATATATCAAAACTATGAATCAAATATATCTTTCTTAATTTTAAATAACTTTTGTATATATCATGGTTAAGTAATGAATAAAAAGCCTAATGGTGAAGGAATCTTCAAATGGATTAATGGTGAATAATATATTGGTTAATGGTTGAATGCATAGAAACATGGAATTGGCTAATGGAATGGAGTTGAAGGAGATTCATACATAGGATAATGGGTTAACGGTTAATAGGATGGTTTAGGCGAACATAAATGGAATGGAAATGTCTATTTTGGTTAATGGACTAATTCAGTAAAGAATGGATATGGAATTGAGTAATTCTAAAATGGTGATAAATATATAGGAAATTATTTTTATGGTAAACCTCAAGGCAATGGTGAATATAGATGGTTAGATGGTTCAATTTATTAAGGATAATTTTTAGAGGGAAAAAGACATGGACATGGTATATGGAGTAACAAACTA